GTGGGCCAAATATGATAAATATTTCTATATGTATATGTATGTATATATATTAATATTGTTATGAAGCTTTGCATTAACTCATTTTTATAGAGATAACTTGCAATATTATAGGGACAAACGTTAAGCATCTGATTTGCTATTTTATCAACATGCTTTACCATTGTTTTCATCGACAACATGACCATGGAAGGGCATTAATTACTAGGACTTGTTCGCCGCGGAAGATGCTGGTGGAGACTTTATAGTATATGTCGAGTGCAACTTGGTGCTGGTATTAGAGCAATATTCAACAGGAAGCTACGAATGCCTGTGTGTACCTCTTGCTAGTGCGGACACATATGTATGTCAAAATCAATATCGATTGGCACAATCTACTCAAGTGGACACATAGTACAAATGCCCTAACTTTCATAAAACAAGAACCACATCGTGAGTCCTAACGCTAATAATTAACTTGCATTTAAGTAATATTTGATTGCATCCGTATAGTTTTATCTATAGTATGCTACTTCGTGGATGTTTTATATGGTGGATACTTTGCATCTGTAAATTAATATTCTCATTCAATCCCGCGTTGTTTTAGCATTGTAGATAGCTAGTAGAACAGTAATGCACGTCATCATATTCATGTTGAGCTTGTAAAGAATTCTTCTGATCATGGCTTGTCCGATACAAAGTTTAAATTTGACTTGCATCTGATTCTTGGTGTTGCAGGAATTACTATAAGTGCTCGAGTGGAGGGTGCAACGTGAAGAAGAGGGTGGAGAGAGATAGGGACGACTCGAGGTACGTGATAACAACGTACGAGGGCGTCCACAACCACGAGAGTCCATGTCTTGTGTATTACAACTACAAGCAGATGAGGCCTGTCGTGGACGCTGTCGTTTCTGGCGCTTGGGATCCGCAGGGCCCTCCTTCACATTACTTTCCCTCCTCATAGAGGCACTTCATCAAGCCCTCCTTTTGCCATACTTCAATTGGTCTCAACATGTATCTACTCGCACGAGAGGCTCACGTGAGTAACGTCGTCTCTCTTGATGAGTATTGTGTAAAAGTTTCTTTGCCTTGACCCCGATTCGTTATAGACTCGGTGAATCGCGATATGGTTGTCTTGCCTGATCTAATGGCACTCGCATTTGAATGAGTGCGTTTCCCTTTCTCTTGTTAATCTTGAATTATAAAGTTGGAATTGGCATTTCACAATGGAATGTGTAGCTAGGAAGGGACATTTCTTCTTTGAGGGGAAAGAGTTGCGCCTATTGCATTCAAAGCCAACAAAAGGCAAAAATCAACTCTGCAATTATTTCTGACATTAGTTGTTCTCTCTCTTATACATTATATGATATCCTTTATCTCTCTTTTTTTTTTGGGTCAAAATATGATATCCTTTATCTCGCACAGTGCTCTTCTCAATGTTTTCACAAATCTCACTATATTACAACCCGCTCCTTTTCCTAAATTAAATGATTGAAAAACGTCGAATCACCAATGGGAGTACCGTGCGAAGTAAAGAACTAGTGTCTTTCTAATATGATCATTTTGTACCAAACATAATGTGATAGCTATGATTTTTTGTTTTTGGTGAATAGATCCCATCGGTGGAAGAATTTCTTGTTATGCGAGACTCTTTAACGTTTAGCCATGTAATCAATCTATAAAAAATGGTGAAGGGATTTTTCAAGTTATAGGAAGGAGGGTGTAGGAGTAGGGAACTAACGTAAGTGGGCTTTGAACTTTTTGCCCGCTGCCCACTGCCCAGTTATATTATTTTTATTTCCTTTTAATAGACTGTTCTGCTATCTTAAAATATAAGATTAATATTACGAAAATACCAAACCGATACAGCTGTGATAATTTTATCTCAAACTAATTTTTTGACCACCAAAAATCTCAAACTGGTACACCTGTGATAAATTTACCCCAAACTAATTTTTTAACCATAAAAAACCCCGAACCGATACAATTATGATAAATTTATCCTCCGTTAGTTTCCATTAAATTGAATTAATACCATAAAAAATCATAAATTGGTGCGTCTGTGACAAACGGAGGGTAAAACATAAAATTGGTACATCCGACAATTGCCGCATGTCATTTAACAAAGCAATTTGACTGTAAAATATAACGAAAATAAACTGAGGGTAAATTTGTCACAGGTGTACCAGTTTGGGGTTTTTGATGGTTAAAAAATTAGTTTAGGGTAAAATTGTTACAGGCATACAAGTTTGGGGATTTTTGCAGTATTTACCCTAAAATGTATCTTATTTAACCTTTTCTTTTCATTTTTCGGCCCTTTATTTTTTTTATTTTAATTTTTTATTGTTTTAATGTAAATTTTTAACACATAAGTAAGTTTTGACATATAAAACATGATTTCACACATATCCCATGAATGTCTAATATTTAAATCAAGATATCTCATTGTCATCGATTAAGGCTTGTCGAGGACGACGAGACGAAGATCGAGATGCAACGTGGAGCTCTGTTATGAGCGATGAGCTCGACACCAATTTGCATTGGAATTGCATGTTGGAAATTATGGGCCAATAAGCACAAGGACATAGGACAGATGAAAGATTTGCTATACCATCAGTAGAATGCAGACAAGTTTCATTTTAATAAGTGACCTAAAAAATGGAGATATATGTGCATTATCATGGTAGGTCATAAATTTTCAGTTCGATGTTCCTTACAAATATCCCAAAAAATGGAAATTAGGGTTTATCTTGCCTAAAGCACCCGTCCAAAATTGCTTGTATAAACAGTTTTTTTAAATTTGATCATGGATGAAGTTAGATCAAACGTGAATAAAGATCTTGAAATTGCATGTTGGAAACATGTCTTTCCTTCGATGATGGGTAGAATAAGTACTCGAAAATTGGGAAAAGTACCAACAAAGTTATAAATTTAATACATTTATACCAATTCAATCCTAAACCTTTGAAGTGTGGATTGAGTCATAAACATTTTAACGATTTGCCAATATAGTTCATTCGGCCAATTTTGGCCGTAAATCGCTGACATAGATACCAACTGTCCTATATGGTACAACCAGCGCTGACGTGACTAATTTTTTTCTGAGTTTTTTGTTACTTTTTTTTTGCTTTTTCTTTTCTTTCCCTTCTTTTCTTGCCAACCGTGGGTTGGCGAGGTTGCTAGCCGATCCTCACCGGCACCCTTGTGCCCTCGCAGGTCATGGGCAAGGCATTGGGCTCTTGCCCAAATCCAAGAGAGGGCCTTGACCCTCACCTGGGTTGGCAAGGGCCATGATGCCCTCACTTGGATCTAGGCAAGGGCCTGATGCCCTCGCCTGTGGCCATTAAGGGCCTTGATGCCCTCGCCTAGCTAGGCGGCCGGTGACCTTGTCGGCCTAAAGTTGTAAAAAAAAATAAAGAAAGAAAAGAAAAGAAAAGAAATTAATAAAAAAAATTCAGAAAATTGTAAAATTTGTCAGCGTCACCGTCAATCATGCCATGTAAGACGCCCGGTGTCCAAATCAGCAATTTTTAGCCAAAATTAATTGGATGGACTACATTGGTAAATATTGAAAATGTTTAGAACTCAATTGGCACAATTGAAAGGGGGAGAATTATCAAAATAGTCTTAACCTTATTACAATTGTGCCAATTCAGTCATAAACATTTTTTTTTGCCAATTGAGTTCTAAACCTTTTGCATATGTACTAATTCAATTTATCTAGCTAATTTTAGTCGAAAATGACTTACATGGACACCAAGCATCCTATGTGGCGTGGTTAGCGCTAACGTGGATATTTTTAAATAATATTTTAATTTTTTGAATTATTTATTTATTTTCTTTTTCCTTTTTTTTTCTTTTCTTTCTATTTCTTTTTTTTTCTTCCCTCCTTCTTCTAGCCGATCACTGACCGGTGATTGGCCAAAGGTGAGGGCCAGCGAGGGCCCTCACCGATGGCTGGGGGAGGCTTGACCTTGCCAAATTTGGCAAGTTCGAGCCTCGCCCAGTAAAGGCAAAGGTCTCCCTCGCCCAACGACGGCAAGGCGAACCTTGTCAGTGGCCAGCGGCCATCAAGCTCGCCATCCCTTATCTCTGGCCAGTCGCCGAGGTCCGATTGATCGACTAGAGGAAGAAGGGAAAAAAAAAAAGAGAAAGAAAAGAAAAAAAGGGAAAAAGAAATTAAAATATTCGAAAAATTATTAAAATATTATGTAAAAATGTTTATGTTAGTGCTGGCCACGCCACGTAGGACGGTCGACGTCCATGTCAACGATTTTTGGCTAAAATTGGCCTAATGGAATGAATTGGCACAAATGCAAAAGTTTTAGGATTGAATTGGCAAAAAAAAGGTTTAGGGCTAAATTGGCACAAATAAATTAGGTTTAAGACTTTTTTTATACTTTTGCCCGAAAATTGTATATATAGGCATATTTAGGCTATTTTTGTCTCAAGGAAAATGAATGAATCGGAAAACATTTTCCTAAAAACGTTCGCTTGATAAAATAGTCAATGAAAATATTTTCTTTATCGATAACAATTTATTTCTAATTATTTTTGCGGACGATATAAATATTTTCATTCATTCTTTTTTGTAAGCGATACAAGCGATTATTTTTGGAATTTTTTTTTCAAATTATTTATTTTTCGGGAAACAAACGCATACAGTGGACAATGGACTTGTTTCGTTTGATAAAGGACATAGCAAGTACTAAAAAATTTGGCACTTGGTATGGGACGTGATAGGTATAATCAATGACAGTACAAATTCAAACGTATACTTTTAAAGGAGTCTAATATGAATCTCATTACTTCTTAAATGTGTGATCGGTGTCATCCTAAAAAATAAGCCTAGGTCTCTAACTATATTGGACCGCCGATGCATATACTTGTTCGTATTCCTAAATGCTAATGTCTAATCAAATTGAGTTCAATATTGCACGCATGCCACTTCTCGAATTTGCATTTTTTATAATGTTGTCAATCATTCAACTTTCTAATCGCTCAAATCCCGCTAGGCTGAAGAACCCTTTTTTTTCTCATAAGTGATAAAGTTAGACACAAAGACCCGAAGTCTAGAACCCTATTGTCATTTACACACACTCGATCCCACTTAAAAATCTTCTGATGGCGTACAGTCTCATAGTCTCAAGGACTACATTGAGACCGGTGTATCCTGGACTTTCAGCTCCTGTCTGTTCGAATCACTTGACATTTCAAGTAATATCTCTTCAAGAAAGACAAACATCGTATTTATGATATAAACTTGGTCCTATCCAAAGCAGGAAACTCATTACGGAACATTAACCTTTCCTTATCATTCTCCAATAGGGTGCAAATTACACTACAAAAAAACAAGGGATTAGCGACGAATTTTGCGACGAAAAATTTGGAAAAATCCGTCGCAAATCAAATTTGCGACGAATTTAGCGACGGAAAAATTCCGTCGCTAATAGGTAGTCGCAATTTCCTCGCAAATAATTCGTGCAAAATTCGTTGCAAATAATTAGTCGCAAATTAGCCACGAACACTATCCGTCGCAAAATTAGTCGCAAATTTCGTCGCGAAATTCGTCGCAAATAATTCGTCGCAAATTAGCCACGAACTTTATTCGTGGCAAAATTTGTCACGAAATTCGTCGCAAAATTCGTCACAAAATTAGCCACGAACTTTATTCGTCGCAAAATTTGTCGCAAAATTTTGTCGCAAAATTGGTTGCAAAATTCGTCGCAAAATTAGCCACGAACTTTGTTCGTCGCAAAATGTATTCGTTGCAAATTAGCCACGAACTGTAATGGTCGCAAAATTCGTCTCTAAATATTCGTCGCAAATTTTACACAATTTCGGCCATCAAATCTTGTCCATATCAATAGCTACGCATTAATGTACATTATGTAATACATTGAAAACAATCAAAGGACACGAGACAACCATAGATTCCGCCTCAGAAACAGAAAACGAACAAACCAGACACAATGCCATATAATTGAAAAATATAACTGAAGGAAAGATGCTAGTCCGCAAAAAATAATGATATATGCAAAGTTGCAAAGTCTGACATGATGCTTTTTGATATCCAATCTTATAATACATTCAAAATATTCATAGGAGACGGGACAACCATAGATTCTGCTTAAAAAACGAAAAATCGACAAACCCGGACACAAGATTGGGCAGCTTTGGTACTCGGCGGGACACCAAAGCGAGTCACTTTGTCGACACACGATGAA